GAAGAAGAACCAGAACTTTCTCTCAACAAAGATATTAGAAAATTTTATCAGTTATAGAAAAGTAACAGTCACGGGATTAATAAATTGGCTTGAAATGCATTAGATAAAATTAGGAAGCTCGAAATTCTGCGTTCGTAAAATTCGAACGTAATTTGAACGAAAATGCAGAATTTAATTAATATTAATTAAGTTGGAGAGCCTGTACCATTAATATTAGAAAATTTATATTAATGGTATAGACTCTCCAATTTAATAACAGGTGGACACTAGTTCTGAAAAATGAAAACCAGTCTTTGTTATATTCTAAAGAGCAGGCAGAATAGTGACGAATATTGAAATTCATTCCTGCTACATGATTATTAATTAATTCATTTCTCCTACATGATCATTAAAATTAACAGATTATTAGAGAAATTTAAGAACGAATCGACACGATGAGCTATCGAATGTATGTGATGAAGTGCGTATTATTATTTACGTTGATGATGGTTCAATTTAATTATACTAACGATAATAATTGTACTAGTGATGGAATTATCATTATTAATTTGTTTCAAAAATCTCTAATAAACAATTTTTTTGAAGATCCAATTTGATGATATCATTTTCTTTTTATTTTCACTTTTCACAAATCAATCAGCCCCCTTAGTCATGCGAAAGCAGTAATAATAATAATTATTCCAAGTATATCTCATCTATTTTATATCTCGTTAGCCGAAATCTAGGTCTGTAATAATACACTCCATCGTGTTTATTTGAATTAAAAAAAAAAAAATTAAAAAAGAAATTTAAAATTAAAACGATGTGTACTACTTTGTCATTTTTCTCCATTCTTTTGTTTAATAGAGTTGATGAACTTGGCGTGTGAGCGGCTCAAACATCGCTGATTTTTAATCGTCCGTCTGCTCGATGCGCAAACGAAAAATTCTTAAACGACGCCGTTTCTTTTCCCCGTGTGTCTGCAACGAGAACTCCATCAACGCAGCGTTCGAAAGCGTGTAAATAAAGCGACAAATCGTTTCGCGTCAAATCGTTGGTCGCACGCGGTCGCACACGCTCGAACAAAAATCCATACGGGGAAAACATTTTTACCGCGAGGAGGGGGAGAAACGCGCAGCCATCGGCGTGATTATATTCTAATAAAAGTCCATTTCGGCCGGGCTTTTTATCGCGGCCGCAGCAACGCGTCACTCTTCGGATTTATGCTTTAATAAAATGTCCGCGAGCGTGGAATACCGACGCTTGTCCTCGTCGATGTTTCGTTCGAAAAAAGGGAAGAGATAAATTGCCTTTGAAATCGGCCGTTCGTTCGTTCGTTCGTTTCGCTTTTCCACGGAGACGGCAACGCGAGTGGATCGGTTACGCTTTTCGCGAATGTCGCGTCGTCCATTTCGGTGGCGGAACGTCACCAGGAAAGGAGAGAAGAGATCTTCTTGCGTTTTCGATCGTCGCGTCGGCATTACGTAATCGAGCAGCCGCGTACTCGTTTCCAGCGAGTCGTAGTTGACTTTTTTTTTTTTTTTTTT